AAAAAAAAAAAAAAATCAGTTACACATAAAACCAACAATTTCTGCAATAAAACATTTTACATAGAAGGACATTGTTCTTAAGCTCCGGGGAAAGTCACAAGCTCTTGTGTAGGAATGAACGGAAAGAACCATCAGGACGACACCGGTACATAGACCGGAGATGGAGCTACATACTTCTACAGCACTGGAACAACAAAAGTCTATTGTCTCTCATCTAGATAATAAAATCTATCCCGTAAAACCAAATGGACCACAGAGATTAAATTAAAATGTTCATGAGAAAAAATAAAAATTGACCATTTGCGATGCTTGTTCAAGCGTTCTTTGGATGAGGATCCATGAAGGAGGAGCCTGAGGGCGAGAGTCTCCCCCCCTGCGAGGAGTAACATCAACAGAAGGGTTGACAGTTCGGCAGTTATTGCAGAGTGGGGTGCTGCACAAGCACAGAAGACAACACTGTCAGAGGTCCATGTTAAAGGGGAGGTCCCCTCACGTCCAACGGTAACAGTTTAAGTTTATAAAGTCTTGTTTCAAGATGAAGCACAAACTTGGTGCTGTAATGGGGCCTGGGGGTGCGAGTAAAGTTCAGTTTCTGGCACCCACATTAGTGTCCCAGTATGTATAAAGCAGTCAGTCAAAGGTCTCCAAAAAAGACCCCCCCCAACCACAACGAGCCAGACGCTGGCAGTTTCAAGGCTCTGGTCAAGTGCTGTTGCCTTGTTCCTGCTCAAACAGAAGCATAGCCAGCTGGGAACGAGAGCCCAGTCCTTCTAAATTGCTCTGCACGCATCGATGGTAAATTTCCTCGCTCAGGCGCGGGTTGCAAGAACGCGTGCGGTAAAGTTGAAGCAAGGCCGGTTCCACTGCCCGGAAGACGTGGAGCCCCGAGTAGCGGATGAACATCTCGTAGATGTCGAGCATCTCCACGATCTCCTCGTTCTCCTGAGCGTCGGCCGCCATTTTGGTACGCGCGGACATGTAGTCGGCGTTGTAGAAGCAAGCTTCGTCGAAGACGTCCCTGTCGAAGCGGCCGGCGTCGCGCACCAGATCCAGGGTGCCCGAGGGAGACTCCTTCCCGTGTTCGGACACCTCGGGGTTGTAACCTTGGAAGTGGATGGGGAAGAAGACCTGCCAGTTGTTAATGGTATTCATGCGGCAACGGTTGAGGAACTCTGTGCTGACGTGGCTCCCGACGCCGGCCAGGAAGAACAGGGTATCCACAGGGTGCTTTTTGGAGATGATGTCCATAAGTCGGATTTGGGAAGGTGCGTCTGTCTTCACGCTGATCCATGGGATTTTTACATCACGGTATTTGCGCTCGTACTCGGCAATTTGGCTCTTGACTTGGCTGAAAATGTCGCTCTGGCTGACCTGCTGGGCTTGGAATGGGTCGTAGATAAACAACAGGGTGAGCAGGGAATTTTCATTGCCCTGGATGTCTGTGAAGGCCTTCAGGAAAGCCACGGCATGTTCTCGGTCTTGGGCAGTCAGGGGTAGGATGATGTTGATACGGCTGGCCTCGGTCACATACGGCATGGGGATGATTTCCACCTCACTAAGAGGACGTACTAGGTGGACCCTCTTTGTGATGGAACGGCTGTGGCCCTTCTGTGTCACCAGCTCCAGCTGCAGGTCCAGCGTGTACTCCATGCCACGAGTCGGATCGAATCGGCGGTAGCCATTCAGGAGCTGCTGCTTGCGCACGTGCAGCACCGGCTGGTATTTGCGGTTGAGCTCGTCCACGGCTGTGCTGAGGATGTCGGTGACATCGGCGAGGTCGGCTCCGATCAGTTCGCACTTGGGAGAGTCATCGATACAAGAGAAAGTCTGGTCCTCTGTGAAGTAATCCCAGCGCAGGACCTCGAAACGTGAGCGGGGCTGGAATGGGGCGTTGATCCCGAGGGGCCAGGTGGCAGACTGGTCTCCAGCCACAGACAGGCTGCTGGCGTTCTGTATCTCCCTCTGCAAAAGAAAAAAACAGACGTGGGATTAACTAACCTACTAGAACAGGTCATTATGCAATATAACAGCTCATACAAAACATGTGTGGCCCAATGCTGCACACAAAAGGCCAAGACCAAGGAAATATATCCAATCCCTCCAATTGGGGAGGGGGGTTGGGTTGTCAATAAGAACTAGTCTCCCAACAGCTGTCCCTGCAGGACCGTCACATGCCTGGTGATTACAGAGAGCAATAAAAGACATTTCATAGAACATACTAGATTTAGGGGTCATCCTTACGGCCAATCAGACTGCCGCATCTGGAGGCAGCAGCACTCTAAGCCAGGAGTAGGCAACCTCAGCACACCAGCTGTGCTGAAACTGTAAATCCCATTATGCCTCCGTCTCTGGGAGCCATGCCTGTGACTATCAGAGTCTTGAAATGCTTCATGGGACTTGTAGTTGCACAACAGCTAGGTGGCCATGGTTGCCTACCCCTGCTCTAAGCTATGGTGGCATGCACATTGGAGTAGGGATGCACAGACATACACGTTTTAGTAGGTATCGAGTACGGATATATATTTTTTGGTACTCAGAATGTCCCATTAGGGAAGCCAGGCGGCGTGTAAGGACTCGCCACCTGGCTTCCCGAGTAGCTGGGAAGCCGTCCCCGTGCTTCTCATCACTAGGTGATGAGAAAGCATGGAGCCGGCTTTCTGGCCAATCAAGAAGCTGGGCGCCATGTAATGACGCGGCGCCCGGCATCCTGATTGGCCGGGAAGCCGGCTACGTGGTCCCTTCGTCACAAGTGATGAGGGAGCATGGAGCTGACTTCCCGGCCAATCAGGAAGCTGGGCAGCGTGTAATGACTCGCTGCCTGGCTTCCTGATACTGGAAGTATGAGGCTAGGCATCGGAGCATTTGGGGGGGAGTACGAGTACTCGCTCAAATACTGAGCATCGGCACTGATACTAGTATAGGTATCGGTGCATTCCTACATTGGAGGATAAGTTGCGGCTAGAACCCTGGATGCACACTGTCTGTTTCCAGGGTCAATCAGGAGACTCTATTTGCATGTGATTGTTTGTATGAATGGTTGCATGCAAACAGCGCTGGCCATTGATTTGTACAGGTGTGCATACAGCAGCGCAGCCAATGTGTGCATACAGCCATGCAGCCAATGTGTGCATGGGGCCAAAGTCTCTCCATCGCAGATTCTTGCCGGCAGAGAAGCTAATCACCCATGTGAATGAGCCCTTCCTTCCATCACCTGCATTAACATCAGTCTGACACAAGGGGGCAATGTGGAGCCACTAATGAGCAGATCCTAGAACATTGCTATACAAGAGGGGGGGGGGAGCGTCTCCTCCACGCTTCTTGTAACACAATTATTATTCAAGCTGCAAATCCGCGACCGAGCGAAGACACAAACAATGAGAAAAACACTTGCTAATAGTGATAACATTTTCTTGTCCCCTTCTCTGTGAAATCACATATATTGTAGCCAGTTTCTCTGTGCCATTTCCTGCCAACATCAATTTTCCTGTGTGCGCAATGAACATTCTGCGGGAACGCCTTGGAACATGGGAGATAAAAACGGAGGAGTTACTAAAACACGTGAACAGAAAATTCGTGGCAGACTCGTTAGGAGGAGGGCGAAAAAAATTAAAATAATGTTCATTTGATTGGCCGCTGGAGGGCAGCACCAAATCCCTTCACAGAGCAATGACTTGACGTGAGAAACGTAGAGCCAGCCGACCACATACAACTGCCAGATTGTGATCTTACATGGAAGGCCGGCCCAGCAATCTCCATACAAATCCATATATACAATATAGACATTACATATTCCCATGTACATTGCATCAATCCTCAATGCATCCAGCAATCTGATCTCTCAGTTATAGGTGGACGATGGCGAGCCAACTACCCAACCCGGGTTTTACATCACTATGGGTTTCCAGGAGGGCCAGATTTTAGATTTTGCTTTCAGGAAACCCAGTAGGGGCGTCTCATTCCTCCTGCTGTACTTTCCATGGCAGCTGAACCTAAAATGGTGCACAAAGTCATTGTTCAGAAGTGTAAAGAGACCCCACCAAGAGCAAGACTAACCAGCAGGGTGGATGATTCTACGAAAGCAGAAAAAAAATCAAAAGAACATTACAAATATGGGTGGAATACCCTAAATGCAACAACATGGGCACCAGCAGAGCTCCAAGTCAAGGTCAAGAGGTGCGTCCACATACAGTGTAATCCCAAGTACTCTGGGAGCCCCTAAATCCATGACCCTCAATATGCAAATGTCTTCCCTCTCTTTGCAACACACACACACACACAACACCGCACAAGGCGTGGGGCATGGAGGAGGGCGCACCGCACAAGGCGTGGGGCATGGAGGAGGGCGCACCGCACAAGGCGTGGGGCATGGAGGAGGGCGCACCGCACAAGGCGTGGGGCATGGAGGAGGGCGCACCGCACAAGGCGTGGGGCATGGAGGAGGGCGCACCGCACAAGGCGTGGGGCATGGAGGAGGGCGCACCGCACAAGGCGTGGGGCATGGAGGAGGGCGCACCGCACAAGGCGTGGGGCATGGAGGAGGGCGCACCGCACAAGGCGTGGGGCATGGAGGAGGGCGCACCGCACAAGGCGTGGGGCATGGAGGAGGGCGCACCGCACAAGGCGTGGGGCATGGAGGAGGGCGCACCGCACAAGGCGTGGGGCATGGAGGAGGGCGCACCGCACAAGGCGTGGGGCATGGAGGAGGGCGCACCGCACAAGGCGTGGGGCATGGAGGAGGGCGCACCGCACAAGGCGTGGGGCATGGAGGAGGGCGCACCGCACAAGGCGTGGGGCATGGAGGAGGGCGCACCGCACAAGGCGTGGGGCATGGAGGAGGGCGCACCGCACAAGGCGTGGGGCATGGAGGAGGGCGCACCGCACAAGGCGTGGGGCATGGAGGAGGGCGCACCGCACAAGGCGTGGGGCATGGAGGAGGGCGCACCGCACAAGGCGTGGGGCATGGAGGAGGGCGCACCGCACAAGGCGTGGGGCATGGAGGAGGGCGCACCGCACAAGGCGTGGGGCATGGAGGAGGGCGCACCGCACAAGGCGTGGGGCATGGAGGAGGGCGCACCGCACAAGGCGTGGGGCATGGAGGAGGGCGCACCGCACAAGGCGTGGGGCATGGAGGAGGGCGCACCGCACAAGGCGTGGGGCATGGAGGAGGGCGCACCGCACAAGGCGTGGGGCATGGAGGAGGGCGCACCGCACAAGGCGTGGGGCATGGAGGAGGGCGCACCGCACAAGGCGTGGGGCATGGAGGAGGGCGCACCGCACAAGGCGTGGGGCATGGAGGAGGGCGCACCGCACAAGGCGTGGGGCATGGAGGAGGGCGCACCGCACAAGGCGTGGGGCATGGAGGAGGGCGCACCGCACAAGGCGTGGGGCATGGAGGAGGGCGCACCGCACAAGGCGTGGGGCATGGAGGAGGGCGCACCGCACAAGGCGTGGGGCATGGAGGAGGGCGCACCGCACAAGGCGTGGGGCATGGAGGAGGGCGCACCGCACAAGGCGTGGGGCATGGAGGAGGGCGCACCGCACAAGGCGTGGGGCATGGAGGAGGGCGCACCGCACAAGGCGTGGGGCATGGAGGAGGGCGCACCGCACAAGGCGTGGGGCATGGAGGAGGGCGCACCGCACAAGGCGTGGGGCATGGAGGAGGGCGCACCGCACAAGGCGTGGGGCATGGAGGAGGGCGCACCGCACAAGGCGTGGGGCATGGAGGAGGGCGCACCGCACAAGGCGTGGGGCATGGAGGAGGGCGCACCGCACAAGGCGTGGGGCATGGAGGAGGGCGCACCACACAAGGCGTGGGGCATGGAGGAGGGCGCACCACACAAGTTCTCCTTTAAGAAAAGGGCGATCTAAAAGTCAGGTTGTTCTGATGAGGGTGCACCCTCGAAATACATAAGCCAACATGCACCTTGGAGGAAGCGGCTATGCTGCTGGATTGGTTCATCACTTGTTTTCTGTATCCAGTGGATTGGGAGTCTCACCCTGGATGGATTTTGCGAGGCACTTTTGTGGGTACAATATACTTTTTAATAACGTTTTATTGAAGAGATCACACAATGGCGGTGCGCTTTCCATCTGTTCTTAGAGTTGTACAATCACATTAGAGAAGGCACCTGGTTTACCGGCTAGTCACTAAAAAAAGACACATAACTCCGACCCCCCCAAAGGCAACAGAGCAGACAGGTTCTACATCTCTGTACTGGTATGGTATGCAGTCATACTGGTTTCTCGGTTCTATAGCAGGCAAACATTGCTGGGCGTCAGATGAGCTGCGAGGGTCAAACCGTTCAGCATTATACGAATATTATGAACTTTTCTCAAGAAAACTGATCGGAAATACCAACCGCACACCCACATGTGTGACAGATTCCCTGAAAACAAATCAGTCCACCTTGGGGGCCAGCTTAAATATCAGGGCAGCCTTTTATACACAGGCACATGGGCAGAGCGTGGGGTGTTGATGGTGTGCCCAAAAATTTACAGCTACTACCTTTTGCAAGCCTCTAATAGTAAATGGAGGGAATTTACCAAAACTGGGAGCAGACAGAATCAGGAGCAGTTGCCCGTGGCAACCAATCAGCTTCTCTCTCCAGTTTGCTCGGGTAAGATTTAAAAAATATGAGTCAAAGAAGCCGACTGGTTGTTGTGCAAATCTGTTCCAGAATTTGTCTGCTTCAGTTTTTATAAATTCCCCCCAATCTGTTTTGTTTCTTTGCCGTCATGTCGCACTGTATACAGTTACTCTACGGCAATGTGGTTTACCCGGAAAGTCTGCTGACCAATCAGAAGCAGCATTGTTAAGCTGCCCATACACCTTACAATTATCTGCAGATTTTCTGTGGTCAGATGGAAAAGGTGCAACAGATTCCTCCGTCTACGCTAAACCGTGTGGATGGAGGAATCTCCACCTGGGCCAATCTGGTGCACTTTTTCCATCCGACCACAGAAAATCTGCAGAGAATTGTAAGGTGTATGTGCACCTTAAGGGCGACACGTGATCCTTCAGTTGGCAACTGGGCTGCTTGTCTGGGCTATCAGATAGGCGGCCCAAGGGTCAAATGAAGCAGTTTGCGTGGCAGTAGGACAACGCTGCTTCTAATTGCGAGGCAGTGGCTTAGCGTTGCCAGCATCTCTGGGTAAGAAACTTTGCAACACATTCACAAATAACCATGACCTCTAAATCAAGGGTAGGCAAACTGCTGCCCTCCAGCTGTGGTGAAACTACAAATTCCATCATGCATCTGCCTCTGAGAGTCAGGCCTGTGGCTGTCAGTTTTGCAATGCATGATGGGATTTTTAGGTGCACCACAGCTGGAGGGCCAGTGTCCGCCTACCGCCAAACACTGAGGCATGAAGCCAGCCAAACTGAACTAGATTCTGGGTTGACACACACTTTAAAAAGGTCATGTGATGTTGCCCAATTAGGACAAAAGGACAGTTTTTATCTAAAATCCCCCCCTTCCTGACCACCTTATATGAACCTTGACAACCTTCCCCTGCTGCTGCTTCAACACTAAAGCTATCACAAAACACTGGTGGTGGGAGGGGGTAGGGTTGGTGGTTGAAGCTTACAAGGGGTGATAATGTCACTCCCTTTGTCTTGTAAGAGTATTCAAGCTTACAGAATGCCGCCTGCTTCCACATGAAGCAAACCTTTTTTTTCGGTGGTTACCCAGGAAAATATGAAGTCAGGGATTTCGGCAGACCTGAACTAGGCTGCTCAGTTTGCAGAGGTCACTGGCTCCAAGCTGGTGGTCCGCGGCCCTAGTCAGGGGAGCAATGTACTCAGCCTTTCTGATCCACAAGGAGGCTTGCACTGCAGAAGGGGTAGGGCATAGGAGACTTTGAAATCTAAATTTCCATAGACATGGTCTCTACTTGTTCCCGGCCAGCAACGAAATCTAAAGAGGACTGCCATACCAACCAGGTAACCAGAAGAGGTCAGGAGTAAAAGTCTCCACATTCCTCTCATTTCCTTTTATTTCAATTTAATTTAGATATTTCTATAGAGCTTTTCTCCCTGGAGCTCAAATCACTTAAACTGCTGCTGGAGCAGATGATGGGGCAGCCATCTTGGCAGCTTTTAGTAAAATATTGCGCAATGGCCAACTTTAGACAGTAGCCAATTAAACCTACCATGTCTTCGGAGTGTAGGAGGAAACTAGAGTACTCGGGGGAAATTCACAGGGAGAGCGTGCAAACCCCATGCAGATCTGGGGCTGGAACCGAGGAGTGCTAACCACTAAGCTACTGTTTGAGGGTTGCATCTTTGCTCCCAGGTCAGTTGAAGTTGGTTTTTCCCAATGGACATAAATTTGTCCATAAGTCTAAAAAAAACTGGTAGCAGAAGCATGCAGCCCCAAGTTTTAAATGCCAAAAGCACAGAACAATGGAGGAACAGCCCAGAGCAGCCTAAAGATAGCCATTAATTTTTTCTGGACAGGTGAGAAAATGGCGGTCGTTTCCGGCTGGAGCCCCACTATTCCGTGCCCCCCATTACATCTGCCATTGCTCACCTGCAGCTGTTCGATCTCCAGGTAAGTCCTCTCCAGCTCCACCTGAGCAAAGTGTTTGTGGAGACGGTACATCTGTACAGGGTCCAGGACGGGGTGGGCTGTGAATGCGTTCTTGAAGCGGGGGTCACTCTCCTTTTCAGGGTCTGCGTTCTTTCCCAATTCAAAGTATCTGTATCGTACCCCCTGCAGAAAACAAAAAGAAAAAAGTGGTTCAGAGATCCCCAATACACACATTTCATCAAGGAAGACAACTCCGAGCATTGTACCACCTAGAAAAAGATAAAGTATGGGAGGACAGTCAAGCTCTCCAACACCTTCCAACAAATGTTTCACGGACCAAAGATGGGAGACCCTACAACAGGGGTCTCAAACACCCGGCCCTCCAGCTGTGGTGGAACTACAAAGCCCATGAGGCATTGCAAGATTCTCACAGCCACAGACATGACTCCCGAAGAGAGATGAATCATGGGATTTGTAGTTTCACCACAGCTGGAGGGCCAGAGGTTTGAGACCCCTGCCCTACAGCCTGTTTCCAATATGGTGGCACCCAGCATTGATCTTTGCAGCAAAGTAGAGGTAAGTAACATCTAAGCGTATCAATGTTGAGCAAGGAAACTTAAAGTGTACCCAAGACCAATGTGGAAGGTTTAAAACCCTTATTAGAATTTGAAGGTCATCTATTGCCCCGCCAGAGGAAATCCCTTTATTTGTACGAGAGAACAGTCACTGGGGCTGAAAGTGATGTGGAAACCTAAAAAATTGTGACTATAAACAGTTAAAAGTACATCTGCTCAGATAACCTGTAAGCTACACATGTATAGGGCCAGTAGGCAGCAGTGCCAGGAGGAATGCAGATCCTTCATGTCACAGCATCTTATCCGGCCAGAAGATTCAGCAGCAGCACATTCCTATACACAGGGACACAATGTGCCCCATTCAGAGGGCCGGACATACACACAGCCATAGGAGATCTATATGTGGCATACATTTCTTTGCAGGGAGGGCTGAGCAGAAAACACCATCTGAACTCTACAGTCATTGGAACACCCAGCACCCCCAGCGAAACAAATTGGACATCTGCAATAAGCAGATGCATGGATGGCATCCAAGAAGATGAAAGTCCACAGCAGAGGGGATACATGAGGTTTCTTTTTGGTTACGGTTGTCATATCTAAACCCAAGCACAAAAATGTAATATATTGTAGCCAGCCAGCCCTTTAGGTGTGGTAGCTGCATTCGTTTCTTTCCCTTTTCACTTGGCGATCCTGCCAATAACACACTTACAGTCCCTTCGCGGCTGTATCTATGGAGGGAGCCATGGGCGTCACACAGGGTCCAACGTGTCAGCCTTTGTCCTTTTCCATTACATAGTGGATTAGTAGTTTACACAATAAAGATAAGGCTCAAATGAAGTCACAAAGGACATTGAATTTCTGGGAAGATCAATAAGTATTCTCTGTACTGACCGAAAGAGTTCTTAGATGTTGTGGTTACATTAGAATTCAGGCTGATAAGCTGCAATCTCTAGATAGATTATATGTAGATACACATTAAACAGCAAGGCCAATACATTCAGGTGTGATCGGACCAGCCCCTGATGATTCTGTGTTATCACAAACACGCAAGCTCTGGTTGCCCAAGCACACGCGTTTCAATGAATGAAGGAGAGACGACAGAGAGAAGGGGACGGGGGCTCCAGCAATGGCTCTCTGCAATAATCAACAGCAAGCGGACATTTTATAAACTATCTCATCAGTCTCTTTAAAGCAGAACTCCAGACATAAAAAAAAATTCCCCCAGTCTCCTTCCCTACACCTGTATTCATCTCACATTTCTAACTAAATACCTCCTTTAAGGAATGTAATGCAATAGTAACGTGACCGCTCCAGCTTCATTATTCTCCTTCCGGTGGTATGGCAGTGGACAGGGAGCAGCTGCAACACAGGGACTACATATCCTAGAAGTCTGTGTGGTTCAAGCTGGTGTGAGCTTGACCGCTGTGCTTTTTGTGCCAATAGTAAAGACCACTGGCCACGGCGGTGGCATTAAGTCACCTCTGCAGTACTGCGAGCTTGGGGGCATTAAAATGATATTAAAATTTCGTGTTTTTTTTCTTTTTTCCACCTTTACATGAATCTTCCTTTCTTCTCTAAAAATCTTTTTAGTTCCTCGTTTTTAGTGGGCCCCCAAAGCATTCATGCACGGGTGCTGCCATCAGTGGCTGTATGCATCTATAGACACACACACCTACCTGCGGCAGGCCACACCCCTCCTCTACCCCCAACATTTTGATTGATGGCCGCAGGAGCCTATGGCTCCTCTGCCATTAGTATCCTCCCTCCACAACCAGGAAGAACAGAGGATCACATCGGTGGTGATGGGATTACCTTAATCCACAGAATGCATTAAGGTAAAAAGTGTCCAGACATTAATGCTACTTTAAATGACAGCTAGTTGCATCAGGAAGCGGCTGCTGAGGCTCAGTGCTGCGCAGCCGGATGTTCCCACAAACCTATTGCTGGGGAAGCGCACACAAAGTTGCATGGACGCAAAGGTTGAACAAAGAAGTGCATTCAGGACTCTCTGCAGCAAATAGTTCTGCTTTAAAGTGACATTAAACCCTCAGATTTTTTAACATAAAACAATACTGTAATGTGCGCCTTACTGTAATCCATGGTTGTTTCCCTTCTCTTTGCTGCTCTTCCTTTTAAATCCTTCTCTCTTCTCATGCTGGGGGAGAACTTCCCTTTGCAGCTGAGTGCCTCTTCCTGTAGTGCTGGCTCAGGTTGTGAACCTACACACAGACACCATGTATCCATTCCAGAGACAAGGCAGTCTGCTGCAAAACAGATCCTCTGCCCAGCATGAGAACAGATACAGATTTAAAAAGGAAGAGCAGCAAAGGGAAGGGAAACTACCATGGATTACAGTAAGGCGCACATTACAGTATTGTTTTATGTTAAAAAATCTGAGGGTTTAATGTCACTTTAAGAGAAGATAGTTGGCTGAAGGGTGTCTGTTGCTAGAATGAAAAACCATCCACAGCAATTGAGCAATGATGATCTCTTGGCTTAATGCTCAGTCTTCTGCAGCTGCACATGAAACTGACTCATGGAAGGTTGGAGCGGCGAGTTGTTTCCTACAGCAACCAGACCGCAGATTTATCTGGAAGCTGAAAAATTGTATTTAAAAAAAAAAAACAAATCCCGACTGTCAGACAAGAGTTCCATCTGTGCTCCATGTTCTCTAAATCAGACCATGTGTATGCAGTCCCCGGCCGTCTCAGATCTCGCCGTTCCTGCAGACCCGGCAGCCTCACTGCAGTCCGTCACTATAGTATACAATGCTGGCCTTATACATGAGCGGCTGGGAGGCTGCAGGACCTGGGAACAGCACAACCCTTCTTCTGCATACACACAGCAGCACACGTACCTAGATTTTACTTACATTGAGGAACATGCTGAGACCCCGTCCAACAGTACCATCAAGATTAACCCATTAATTGCAAACCCCCAAAACTTACCCTTGCAGTGGGGCTACTCCTGTACGGCAAGGTTTCAGTGCGTATAGGGGCTGGAATAAAGCATTTAAATTTACCCGATCTTGGCTTCCCCTAGGCTGCTAGACCGGGTCCCGCAGTCTTCCCTAAACCTGGCCATACACCTAAAGCTTATCTGCAGAATTTCTGTGGTCAGATGGAAAAAGTGCAAAAGATTCCTCATCTACGCTAAACAGTGTGTATGGAGAAATCTCCTGCTGGGCCAAGCTTCAGTATCTTGATAGTCGGCCCCGCTGGCTCTCAAAACACCTGAACAATCTGATTGGATGCAGGCATTGTTCAGGCATTTTGACAGTCAGCGGGTCCAACTAGCAAGATACTGAAGCTTGGCCCAGCAGGAGATTTCTCCATCCACACGGTTTAGCGTAGATGAGGAATCTTTTGCACTTTTTCCATCTGACCACAGAAATTCTGCAGATAAGCTTTAGGTGTATGGCCAGGTTTAGTCTAAGGATTGCCGACATCATGTCTTATGCAGCTCCAAAGACCTGCATTAAAAAGGTGAATACGCTGAGGGACATTCAATAGCTGAGTGAAGGGAGAGAGAAGTGAATGCTAACCACAGCGGGACAGAGGATCAGAAGAGGAAAAAAAATAAGCCCCCCCCCCCAAAAAAAAAAAGCACTTAACCCTTGCAATGTAGCCCCACTATAAAAGTCAAGTGTCCCTGTGCCTTTAACCAGTTGACATCCGCGGTGTTAAACCCCCTTCCCATCCAGGCCATTTTAGGAGGCTGGGCTGCCTCCTGGTGAATCTTCACCCAATTTGATCTTTTTCTACATGTGCTCCGAGATGGAGACTCTCATAGGTTAGAGTTAGGACGGCACTACATAGAGGTGCCTTGGCGCGGCAGTGCGGCTTTCACATATTCTGCAGAAGACGTGCATCTAAAACCTTTGATTTTAACCTCAGAGGTTAGACGGTTTTTTTTTGCATGCTGGCTGGCGTGTGCTGGGAACCTTTTTGCTGTAGCCCCACTTTAAGGCTGGGTTCACACCTAGGCGTATCGAATATGCGCGTTTGTCGCACGGTTAACGGTAAAATCCGTGTGACAAACGCGCGTTTCCAAGGGCTACTTGGCTGTATCCCAATGGAAACGCCCGACAAAAACACCCCAAAGAAGCTCCTGTACTTCTTTGGCGTAGGACATTTTGTAGCGCGTTCCTACGCGCTCTAAAACGCCCAGGTGTGAACCATACCCATAGGAAATAATGGGATTTCGGTGTTTGAGCGTTTTGCAGAGCGTTCGAACGCGCTACGAAACGCCCAGGTGTGAACCGGGCCTAAGGGTATGGTTTGTCTTTTTTTTTTATTTCCCGTTCTTTAAGATGGCCGCATGCGTTACAATATGAGGACACAATCTCTTTTAGTAGCTATGCACTTTGAAGACCTACCTAAAATCCAATTCATTCTAAAACCTTTAACCCCACAGTTAATGGCAAGTGTAAAACAATTTACACAATCAGATAGCAAGGTGTGTTCCCTGTGTTCCCTGATCATCATTTGTCGCCATCATATCAAACATTTTTGATTTTGAGTTTAGATACACTTTAAAATACCTAGACTTCATGTGCTGCATTGATCATAGCTGGGATATGGTGGGTATATACACATGAGAAAATGAAGCATCTACATCCTATGTGGTTCAGGTATAAAACTATGAGAGGTGAAGATGGCTTTTGTCTATATAAGAGGTCTTTGGAAAGGTAAAACACATTCACACAGAAAGCAGAATTCATTCTATAGCAGAAGTTATACAGACGGTGCCGCCACTTACCTCGTGTTCCTCCACGCAGTTGACATGGGTGTAATCGATGATGCACCGCCCTAGCCACTCGTCAGGCCTGGCGCTCAGGATATCGTTGCGGCAGCTCTCGAGGTGGGGCTGCACCTTCTTCAGAAGACTTCGAGACAGCAAATAACCAAATCCGCCATAGCAGTATCGACCCTCGGTGTCACCTCCGATGAACTCCTCCGGCCTACCCATGTACAGATCAGCGTCTATGCTAAGGTGAGCGGTCAGCCGGGAGATCCTGTGTGCCTCGGTGTACGTGTCATCCTGTACCAGGTAGAACCAATCAAACTCCTGAACATAGTGATCCAGAAGATGCTTCACAGTTTGGTACATGTTCCAGATGGGCCGATCATCCCCATGGGTCACCACGGTCATTCCATGAGGCAGCTTCCGGCCTCGCATACCTGTGAAGTACACCAGCTTCTCCAGCCTGTGGCCGAGTGTCCGATTCACGGCAACTGCCAGGGTGTTCAGGGTGGTCTTGGATGTCAGGACCCCAACAAACAGCTGTTCCCTAATTCCAAGTTCTGTGCTTATATAACGAGATCTGCAAAGAGAAAAAAGGAAATATAGCATAAGGATTAAAAGGTAACCAAAAGCCTAAAAATGAGAGAGCAAGTCAATTTCAAGCAACTCAACAGATACAAGAAATGTAAGGACCAAAGTCTTGGGTTTCAAAAACATAAAAAAGACTACTCAGAAGGGGACTACAAAAGATAAAACATATCACGGGTCAGTATAACGTTTCATCGGTTTGTGTTAGGTCTACACAGGAGAGGGGACATCAAGTCTATACAGAGGATAGAGATGCACCGATACCGGTTATTTTTTTTTCCTGTACTCACGGATACCAATACCGGAAGTCCCATTAAGGAAGCCAGGCGGCGTGTAATTACTTGCCACCCGGCTTCCCGATTAGCAGGGAAGCCGTCTATATGCTCCCTCGTCACCGAGGGAGCATGAAGCCGGGTTTCTGACCACTCAGGAAGCTGGGGGGCAGGTAATAACTCAGCCATCCAGCTCCTTGATTGGCCGGCTTCCCGACCAATCAGGAAGCAAGCGGCAAGTCATGACACGCTGCCCGGCTTCCTTACTGGCCGGGAAGCATGTAATGACTCGCTGCCCGGCTTCCTTACTGGCCGGGAAGCATGTAATGACTCACTGCCCGGCTTCTTGATACCGGAAGTTCGGGTATTGGGCTAGGCATTGGAGCATTACGGTGCATCCCTATGGACAAAGGGGGCACCAACCCTGACTAAGGAAGAGATGGTTTTATTACCCAACTCATGTAGGAGGTCCATTATAGAAGAGCCCAACTAAACATATCATGATAAGGAACTTGATGGACTCGATGTTTCCTTACAAGTAAATGGTATCCAGATCTATAATGCATAGCATGGAAATGTTTGGGTCCATGGAATGATCTACCATTCTTGGGATTGGGAAATGTCCCAAATAACCAGGACCATCAAGCCTCAACTCTTTGACAAAGTTACTTTTAGCAATAACATGATAATATTTACGGACGAGCATAAATAAGATGAGCAGGCAAGGAGTCAAGGCCGCTACGAGCACACGAGACACAAAATGGAGGGTTTGGCTCAGTCAAGAAAGTGTTTTTGGTTAGTAACTGGATTTGGTAATTATTTAGACCGTCATACAGGAGCCTTTAGTTGTGCTTTAAACCTTTTAGACACGTGACTGGCACTAGTGGGATAGTGCAGCAGCATTTTCTCCAAAAGGGGAAGTATTTTGATCCTTTACTTATCACCATTTATCCATTCCAGAAAGACATAGTTGAGGACAGCAATGAGTACAATTCTGCTTCATCTAGGAGATACACCAAAACCATCATAATTCGGAGAAGTCGAAGCTTAAAAAAAAAAAGTGAGCCCCTGTGTTTCTGCCTTCCAATCTTTGCAGCACGTTCACCGAAATACATGCAAGGCAATTCAATGGAAATGTTGCAAAATCAAATGATCCCTTCCTTTCTGTTCACTAATCCAGGAGGATGGCACTAATGCCAGTCTTCTGAGTGTACCAAGATGCTTGGCAAAGCTCCCTGGTCATTGTTAATTCAGTAGAATAATGAGCTTGTTAAATATGGCATTTCCCCTTTCCAAATGCCAGTGAGCCATCACATCCGATGGCATTTTCTGCCAGCCAAGAGACACAAGCTGCAATCCGGGAGGCTTTGATAACAAAATGCCATTACCCATACATCACCCTCTCCGCTGTTGGCAGAAGACTGAGGGGATTTGATGCTTAAACTACATTTCAAAGTTAAATGCAATGTTGTATACCAACAGCCCGGGCCTGCAACTTCTAGATGGTGGCTACCCCCTAACACTACACAAGTGGAAGCAGACGGTGAGAAAGCCGCTTATTCCAGGGGATGCTGCGAGTATTACAGACCAGATTAAAAGAGCTTCCTCAAGTCCAGCTGTTAATCAGAGAAGCTAATTATGTAAAGTGCATCAAGAGTGAAGAAAAAGGCAACTTCCTTCGACAAGCAGAGCTCGCTCGGCAGCATTCGTAAAATGTACGTAAACCCCAAAATTGATTTCTAGTATCTTTAGCATCGTGCCTCCCCGTATAAAAGTTTTGTTAAGCAAATATTCTGAATCTGTTGCAATGTTTCTTACCTGGTGATCCTGCCAATAACAGTACTTCCTGATGGTGGACAATATTAAACCACCGCCTTGCAATTGGCAACAGTGTTTTCAGCTTGCGGTGTGTGCTCAGATGGCCCTTGGCCTGCTTATTGGGTCTGCACATGGCTTCTGTATCCTAGATGGGCAGCCCAATGGCCAAAAGGTCACCCTTGGGCTGCTTAAAGAGTCTGCACATGACTTCTGTAAAGCGGATGGGTAGCCCAATGGCCAACAGATGGCCCTTGGGCTGCTTATTGGATCTGCACAAGGCTTCAGTAAACTAGATGGGCAGCCCAATGGCCAAAAGGTCACCCTTGGGCTGTTTATGGAGTCTAAACATGGGTTCTGTAAAGCGGATGGGAAGCCGAATGGCCAACAGATGGGCTTTGGACTGCTTACCGGGTCTGCACATGACTTCTGTAAACATAATGGACAGCCCAACAGCCGTTTGGGCTGCTTATTGTGTCTGCATATGGCTTCTGTAAACATGATGGGCAGCCCAATGGCAAACTGATGGCTCATGAGGGGGTTATTGTGTCTGTAACATGGCTTCGGTAAACATGATGAGCGGCCCAATGGCCAACTTGAGTGTGCATGGCAGTCTAACAATGCTGCTGCAAATTCAGGAGCAGTGGCTTAGTATGGTCAGCCTGCAACAGTAAGTACCGTTACTGGCAGGATCTCAAGTTAAAAAAAAAAACAACAAAAAAAAAAAACTTTGGAAGAGATTCTAAAAGATGACCTGCTTAGCAAAACTGTCTACAGTGAGACACGAGCACTCCAAACATACTAAAACAAAATGTAGGGTTTATAGACATATTAAATCATCCACTTCTGGATATACCGGCTGAATCTCAAGTATTTTCAAGTGACCAGAGATCTCCTTCAGAACTTGGAAGGGACACTAGTGACGTAGAGGCCGGAGGGTTGGGGGCCGGAGGGGTTTATCATTCTGTACTCTAAAGCTAAACCTTTTGTTTTAGATTTTCAGTAGACGTACCAAACTTCTGCAGCTGGTATGGCAAGCTTGACGTCAGCACAGGTACCCATTAAGCTGGAAGGCCTGAAACGTCTATCAAAATCAGGACCAAGCCCCAACAATAACAGTTTGTGTGTTTTGTTACATTCCTTTTATCACTTCCCAAGGCCGTCTCTGACATCTGCGTTCTGTCTTAAGTTCGCTGTCAATAGTGCCTTTCAGTTGGAGAAGCAGCCAAGCTGCAGAACGTACTCCGGAGACCGGGAGGGGAATGGACAGGCGTCCGCCATAAGGCAGAGCTGACCACCCCTCCCCTTCCCCAGTAGAACAATCACCTGCTTGTAGAGGACCTCAAGTTAACCTTAACCCCGTGTCGTTAAAAATAGATGCAGAGCACATACCCATCGAGAGTCATAGATGCCCATTATTTACATTATACCATCCAAAATGTGCAAGATCCCCGTTCCAAGACCTGGGAGCTGTATTGTATGACGCCTAAGGTAGAACCTCAAGTTTAACAAATATGTGGATACTCGGTTTCGCCTACGCAACCTTTTAAAACCATTAATGCGCGTGCTCGTAGGTCCTCTAGCTGCCATTGCCGAGTCCTCATTCTGTTCAGCTCCGGGCACTGTAACTTGTCATTTAATAAGTGGCACAGTCAAAGTTATTAATAGGATGAAACAAAGTGCTCCAGGGCTGCACACAAAAAGGTCACATCTGACAAAATGATAGTCATTGTTTCCATGATATTAGGTCCAAACAGATCAAAACAAATACGTCATTTGCACTGCGTGCAGAAAGAAATAGCGGACAGGGCCGAGCAAGGTTCCTTTTGTTTAAATGGAAACAGTCTTTTCTACAATATCCTAAATATAAGTCAGTGTGAAATCAGTGTAGCGAATCTTATTAAAGTGACATTAAAGTCTAAATCCCCCCCAGTGTTAATGTCAGCACTTACCTAAGGGCCCCGTTCACATTGAGCGATTTATCGCGCGGTAATTACCGCGATATCGCGGCTATTTACTGCGCGATATAATGCAAGGCAATGGGGCAAAGGGTCCTGCTGTCGCGGGTTGTGCGTCGCTACAGCAGGACCCTTTTTGGAACGGATTTTGCCGCGATTCCATTCTTTGCAATGCAAGCATTTGCGCGATGTCGCGCAAAAATGCAAATCGCACAACAAACGTGCGATTTGCAAATCGCACAGTGTGAATGGGGCCTTAAATGAGGTCTCTCAATCCGATCTTTCATCTGTCCCTCCAGCGGTGCGGCGGGTCTCCGATCCAGCGCCAACTCCTCTGTCCTTGCTGGCACTCCCGATCCCACGGTGTCTGCATGCGGGTGCACGCGTCCATAGACTTACCTTGCGTCTCTGCTAGTCTCCCGGCCGAAAATCTGAACTGCGCATGTGCCCGCCCTATGATGCTTTGCGGCAGCTTGATCAGTTTCCAATTCTCAGGCGGGAGCGCGCAGCGATAACACGGTAAGTGTAAACCGCTGTTAAAGCGTTTTTTTTTAGCTTTTTGCCTATATCTACTGCTTGCTAGCCTCATACATATGCAAAAAAACACAGAGGGTTTAGAACCTACAGCTAATTATTATAGTTATGTATTTTGTGGGGAGTGTTACATCGCATCAGGATTTTAGGAGGTTTTAATAGTTGGAATTTTGTGTTTTGTACCGTCTGGGCCTCAGTTGGAAAGCTTCACCTTAAAAAGGAGAACTATGGAGGTGAGCGATTTCCACTATCCTCAGAGCCAACCTGTGACAATGAAACTGGTCACAGGTTGGCTCAACAGATCAGGAAGTGAGCGAACACATAGCGTCGCTCGCTCACTTCTCGATCATCTCCCTGCAGAGAGCCGTGACCGTCAGTCACGGCTCCCTGCAGGGATTCCCCCCTCCCCGATC